ACATCATGGTCAAGGTCACTCAGCGAACACTGTGTCCGGAGCAACAGTACAGGGACACGATAAACAAACGTACACACATGCACACGCATAGTGAAGGATAGGGAACGCATCAGTGGCCATAAAGTGAGAATGGTTCTTGTGGGTTAGTGTTTCTCAGATGGTAAACACATACGCCCAGGTAAACAATTATCAACGATGTGGGTAGCCGCAGAGTGAATTGTGATTGTGGGTTAGGGGATTTCTGATGTAAATCCAACCTCCGCTACATTGCTCGCCGAAATTCTCCTGCGACTGACATTTTGAGGATCAACCGCACCACTCTGGATCTCGCCCTCACAAATTTAGCTAAAACGCTCACAGATATCAATAAACAGCGGAACGGTGCAGACCACACGAAGCGTCTTGGTGAAAGCCGTTTTCCATGACTACAACCAAGCGTATGCTGTAGGCGTCTACCAAAGTTTGAATACGTGAGCGAAGGCCGTTTTCCATGACTACCGCAGTGCACTTCAAAACTAGACTGAAGTATTGCTATCCGCCACCCTCCAGGCGGCATACCTTTCTAATGTCTCTTCGAAATACACCAAAGATTTTTCTTATATAAACTGTTCTTTCCAAGCTACCTTCGTTTGTTTCACAGCTAAGCACTCAACCCAGTGACCAACATCCCGTGGTAGTTTCTTTGATGCCAGCAACACCAGTTCATCAACTTCTATGGTTTTCTCGTATGTTGCCACTTCTGCCGTCATTGTAAAGTTGTTGTGAGACTAAGCAGGCTTCCCCAGGAGTCAATAAAAGGCTCATGTAGTGGCAACCAAATATCAATTGGAAGAGGTAACAAAAGAGTTGAGCATAGCTAGTGCGAATGAGCAAGCCATAACTTGCAACATATATTATATACCTATATTTTTCAACAAGTCTGTAAGCAGACAAATGTGTCATCCAAAGCATGGTGGTAGGGCAAGGAGAATATGATGTTCAACGAGGGGAGAGAGAGTAAAGCACTTTTTATTGTTTCATGTTTTGTTCAACATTAAAAATTGCAGGAGGAAGAGATGGTAGAGCAGAATTGACACCACTGAGGCCTATTGCTGGTCATATCCTCCAAGACTTGTAACCATTGGGAATCCACTTCACGTGGTCCGCGGACTGGGAGACGCACGGATCCAACTGACGCTAGACACGAAGTTAGTATCTGCATGCTCCTTTTCCAGGTCACCGGTTGTCCGCCGCGGCTCTTTTTCCAGTCGCTTCCAGGAAGTGCAAATAGTGCGCGACGTGGAAGGCGGTGGAGCAGCATATGCAGTACGTGACCGAGACAACGCGAGCGGTGCTGGATGATTATGCTCTGGAGACAAGGACCGTCCGCTCCCATGACTCTGGTTCTAACTTCTGCGTTGCTCAAACGGTGCTGCCACCATACTCGAGCAATCGAATGCAAGCAGCAATTGTCGAAAGTAGACAATCGTCTCAAATCTTCCGATCGAACAGGCCAGGTCTCGCAGTCATACAGTAGGACGGCACGAACTGTGGCATTATAGACTCGGCCTTTGAGCTTGAGACTGACATCGCGACGACGCCACAAGTGTCTCAGATTATTAGATGCAAGGCAAGCTTTGGAAATTTGTTGTGAAATTTCATCGCCAATACCGCCACCAGCCGTGATGCAGCTCCCGAGGTAAGTAAAGCCGTTAACGAGCTCTAGGCTGCCACCCGTAATGATGAGCCTAAGCACAGGCGACTGCCAGTATTGGAGCAAACCTTTAAACGTGGATGGAGCAAAATATAGACCATACTTAGATGCCTCTAACGCTAAGCGGTTCAGGATGTTTTGAATAGCCTGCGAGCAGTCTCCCAGCAAAGCGATGTCATCAGCATAGTCCAGGTCCACTACTCTGCTCTCGGGTAGAAGCTCCAAGCCGCAGCTCTGAGCTCCTTTCACTGCGCGATGTAGGATATCTTCGTTGGCAAAATTGTACAGGAACGGAGTGATAGGCGAAACTTGGCGCACTTCACTGGTAACAGGAAAGGAAGAAGGAAGCCTGCCATAAACTCTAACTGCCAGCGGTGGGACTATACAGCTTTTTCAAGATATGACAAGCTTGTCGGGAACTCCGTTACGTAGCAGACAGTTCCCCAGTGACGACCTATCTACTGAGTCAAAAGCGGCTCGGATATCCAAAAACACCATCATTGTTGGTCTTCGGTGAACATGATGGTGTTCGAGAATTTGACGTAATTTGAAAATTTAGTCAATGCAACGACGGCCAGAACGAAAGCCAGTCTGTTCCTGACGACGCAATCTCTCGCGGGTAACTGAGAGTCTATGCAGCAGAATGGACACAAAAAAACTTGAGCGCTACACAGATAAGTGAGATACCTCGGTGGTTGGTACATTCACTACGAGAGCTCTTTTTGTTGATCGGAACCACAACAGATTCTCCCTATGAGTTAGGAACCTCTTCTTCGTTCCATGCTTTTGTGAACAGTCATAGAATTTCGGTGACAACTATGTTCCCCCATCTTTGAATAAGGCGGGAGCTTTGTGGCGTTTTAGTGTCGGGATTTCTCTCCCTATTACTACTTCAGTGGGATGATCTATGCAGACTGACCAAGGATCACTTGATGGCAGTGGATGTGTAACCGGAGGTTGTGTTGAGCAATTAAACTGGACAGCGAAGAGCTCTACCCAGCGATCTAGACGTCTGCGTAGGTTGATGATCTTTGTACCGTTTAATTCACAGATGGTCTGACTGATGGCCTAAGCATTACGTCGGGTGAATCTGGTTAGCTACAACAACCAGCGGTTGTTACCAACATAGGCAGCCATTTCCATTTCCTTGGCCTGTTTAGACCACTAAGATTCACGGTTACGGCAATGACTCGCTTCTAGTTGTCTGGAAATAGAACGGAGTAGCTCAGCGTGCTCCACAATGATGGGTATAACTCGCCGATAGTCGAGAAGTTCCGCGGAAGTGGACGAGATCCAACTTCTAGTTGTGCACCGAACAAGACCGCACCTGGAGAAACCCACTGAAAAGATACTCAGTTGTAACCGCGACCAATGCTGATCAACATCCCGAGGAGGCGGAGAAGTGAGGATCTCACGAAGCTCCTTTTGATATTCGAATGGCACGTCGGGGGCTTCCAGATTAGCAGAGTTAAGCCGAGTTTGTCTAGTCCTAAGTGAGCGACCGAAATGCATGCCCCCCTACGCACGTGTTAGCGCATAATCAGTTTCCACACATGTTGACCAATAGGATACGCAGTCGCGAATACTGTCACGTCAGCAATGACTTATGACGATGTGGACAATCGGTGACGAACCTTGAGGGGATAATGGAACGTGCCAGGTTGCGTAATGACGCCTGGGATGGCGAAACTTCGTGCTGGAGAGGTAAAGTTGGTGGACGGCACACAAGGTAGTCTTTCTACATTGTCTGAGCGAAAGTCGTCCTATCCATGCAGGCCTCCAAGATGGCGTTCCCTTGGTAACAAACGACCAACACGCGAGTTAAAATCCCCCGCCATAATAATGATGTCCGTTTCGTGGGCCCTTAAGAGCAAAGCATGATGGTGTAGCAGTCTGGAGATTCCCCGGTTTGCCTGTGTAAAATTCTAACCAAAATTCTTTAATTGTACACCTAGGCAATCGGTGTGGTCTGTTGAACTGCTTGCTGAGTTCGAATGCTTTACTTGCTCATCGCCATTTTTGCTTGGCGCTCGCTTCGGTTGCAACGCGCGACTGCTCTGTGTGCTGTGCTTGATCCGTTCCCCTAGCTAGAGCGTCCACGGTGTCGTTCATTTATAGCTAGCTAACAAGGAATCTTTTGCTGAACCAATAAAAGTTTCCCTGCAACTCGATCCGTCTTCTGGAATCGCTCTCTGGGCTCCCGGAATAGGCAACCCTCTAAAATGGTTCTGATAGAATTGGTCCTTGACGGTATCCGGGCTACAGTCAGTTGGAGCATAGGCGGAGATTATTAAAAGAGCACGTTGGTCTCCTCGACGCCTGTTAACTTTAAGCGAGCCATGGAGCCTGACAGCGCAAAGGCGACTGTTGATCGGAATCCACTCGAGAAGGGCGGCTCCGGCTTTGGCACTAAAGGATGGTAGCCTCGGCGTCTCCAGAAAGTCGAAGGTGGAAACGGTTATGAAGGTGCTTTGGTGACAACAACGGGTAGACAGTGCTGGAATCCTAGATTCGTGTTTGGAAAAAGCAACAGACATTAATTGCAAGACTTTCTAGAGTGCGCGCGAGACTGGCTTGTTGCCCAATCGGTTGTAAATTGCGCACATTGAACGCCGCCAAGTTGAACTGTGTCTTCGGTTGCCTAAGCGGAGGGGGGAGAATCCGGGACCGTTCAATCCCTGTTTGGCACTGTGTGATTGTCAGAGGATAGAGCGGTAGCAGTGATATCGAAGGAAGCAATGCTGTTCATCATTGATTGATCATACAAAAACGGAAAGTATGAAACCCGGGAAGAGTAGATATACAAGTGGCGCACGATAGAAGCGAGTTTGTAGTAGTAGCATGAGAGCAAATCGTCAGTAGAGCGAGATAGTACCCAGTTGCCTAGGCCGAAGTAGGGGGTTGTCTTAGGGGGCCGCCACCCCCGAGCCTTTGACTCAATAGCCAACACGCAAGGCAGCTGGGTGAATTCAGGGAATCGCGCTCGTTGGGAGCTGGTGACCGATTTCTCTGTTCATGCACCTTTCGCTTATTCGAATACCAAACAGGGGCCAATCATCCCCGCACTTGCAATAGAGTGGTCATCTGGCTGAGAGAGAAGGTACCAATACACTCACAGGACACCAATAAAGTAATTGGAGGTGAGTTAACACATCGTATGCTAACTCCGGTTCCATATTTGGTCTAAAAAATGCGCATCTATGCGAAACTCAAAAATTCCAATAGGCAAAACATATTTGTAAAGCTTATGAAGAAATGCTTATTTTGATATAAAAAATAATTGTTAATCTGTTCACCTTATTGCTAGATTTTGGACAGAATGCGCAAAGGGCAGTGCAGATTAAAAGCTCGCCCAGGGATGATCGGTTACCCATTTTTCACCCACCAAACTTATTTCTAAACAAAGAACAGTGCTGTATCACAAATGTGTGAGCGAATCTCTGCAGTATCCCCTGGCCTTCCTCAAAAGTAATCTGTTCAAAAAATGTCAAGCTATCGCTTCCGCACATTTGGAACAGGAGATTCTTTCGGATGACATTGCGTTCCAGTCATGTAAAATAATCCATACGGATTGAAATAAAAAGATTCACTTGACTTTTCTTTGCTACTCAGAATGGAGAGGATAAATAAGTGTAAAACTAGTCACAGAAAGAGACTGAGACTGTATTTAAGAGCAAGTAGAAAGGTTTCTGTACAACTCTATCGAATTACGAAAAATCAAAATTTACTTGTGAATTATCAGCAGTTGTGTCTGGTCTGTTGATCGTTTATCCGTGTTCGGTTAGAAATTTGTACTAGCGTCATTATTTCCGGACATACATTAAACCAAAACTTGAAGAAACGTGTCAGACAAACAAAACCGGTGGAGGAAATAAATCTGTCATACTTCGGAACATCAGTTCCAGATTGTGTTACCTTACTGGGGAGTTATGAAACCCGGATCCATCAAAGTGATGAAGCACCAACATCATCATTAATTCTTGATACCGTGCTCATACTGTCTTGATTGTTTGGCAAAAGTATAACCACCGATGTTTGTGGCATACATCTTGCCTGCATATAGGTTACAAACATAAGGTTCCGAAGTGTCCATCCATTTAAATGGGTCCCAACCAAGGCCGACGTTCGCATGTGTCATCTTTCCTACATGGTAGGTACTCTTTTAGTGAGTAGCTTGAACCAGTTTCTAACGGGAGGCGGTAATCAGGTAGGACAATTGAGGAACTCGCAAAGTACACCAAAAAGGATTATACATATTTAAACAAGGGATACTCTGGAATTTTAATGGTGGTTATTCTACAGATGAAAGTCACATCGTGCAAACTTTGGGCACCGGCTGCACCACACACAGCAATGCTTGAAGCACGCCTTGTGAAAGCGCCGTTTGAGAGTTACAGAAGTAGTGGATACATGAGCTACCAAAATCCTTAAAAACCAGCAAGAAAGTATGAATTCATTGTATATAAAGGCAAGGTATCCACAAGTAGTAATGCTTATGACACAGCGCCAGAATTGCATGGATATAGACATTTTTCGCTAAAAACCTTCCGTAACTATAGGTAAAAACCGAGCAGTTCGTGTTGACTTGGCAATAACGACAATCATCCGTGGTCAACGCAGCTCCATAGTGATGGTTTGTCAGCCTCTATGACCCACTGAAATACTAGGTGGTGTTAGTTGCATATTCAGAGTAATTGATAGTAGATTGGTCAATTGTTAGGCATCAGCCAAACACAGCCTCTTTGTTGATCTTTCAAACTTGGATTTAGCGTGGGAATGGCTCCTTGTTTCAGAAAACAGCTCCCTCTAGTCCAGCACCAAAAATTACACTGCTTTGCGATCAGGTTTTTGAACCGAAGGCTTCCGTCAAATATCCTCATGGCTCACATATCCAGGTCTGGGAAACATGCCAGTATCCTATCCAAGCACAACAGTGACATTACCTGCAAACGATTTCTTGATGCTCTGACCGTCGCAAAGAATAAACAACAGCACTCAATTTCCTGTATCGAGCGGGCTGACCGGTGGCCGAATTTGTAGGACTAGTTAATACTAGTCCGAGACGGTGCGCGAATGTAAGCGCGGATATCAGAAGGCAATGGGAGTCGGACACAGCGGATTGTATTCGATGGGTTACAATAAGAAGCGGACGGATGAAGCGAGGCGAGAGCGTACACGTGAGCGCGGGAACTTACAAGGCAGCTGTGTGACGAGCCGGTTGTAAGGAAGATTAAAACAAGGAGTAATGTGCAATCGGGCAACAATCAAGTTATCCATGAAAGATAGCAGTTATCTTTTAGGGCGCTACAGAACTCCCCCCCCCTAGAAGGCTGAACATAGAAAGCCTTCGAAATCGAAAGGGAATGTTGAAACGAGGTTCGTAAGGCGAAATCGTGCCGAGTAGAAAGGAGCGTGCGTTCGTGTAAATGGGGGATCGTCGGAAGTCGGAGCCCGCTGTGCCGTTTATGATTTGTTATTTATTGATTGCAGGGCAGGGTGCATTTCGGCGAGCCGTTGGAGCGGGCTTGTCGGACTACAAAAAACTGGCTAGCCCAGAAAAAGGCCGACAGGACCTCAACGTCCGCTGCTGCCAAACGGTGTGCTTAGGAGTGGTCTCTCCCCCCGCCGCACCCCGCACTGCGCCAAAACGACTCTCCTCCCACGGAGAAACGACCATGGTCCCACAGAGAAACGACCCTCGTCCCGCGAAGAAGCGACACTCTTCCCGCGGAGAAACGACCAGTGTTCGTGCCAGGGTCCTCGAAAACATTCCTCGTGTGGGCCAGTCGATCGAAGGGGAGGGTTGGGGCATGTAGAGACGAGAAGATAGAAAAACACGCGCATAAAACGTCAAAAAGAACAAACGAATGATCTGCGTGTTTAAATATTTTTTGGTTTTTGAATATTTTTTCGATAAAGGTTTTGCGAAGGTTTTTAGATATTTTCGTTTGTTTTCAAAACGTTAATCGACCAAAAATGGAACACTTATATACAATATCTACAAAGTTAAAAGTATTTACACTGTACATACTCGGAGAAACGAACGGGCTTACGTACCTCCCGACCATGGCGATTGGGCGTGGGAGGCGGCGGACTAGGTTCGGGAGATGTAGGGACGGCTGCATGGGCTCTCCGTTAGGACCATTGCTAGCAGACGTATTTATGAGTAAATTAGAGAACAACTATCTAAACGGAGTTGCCGACAAATTAGTCTACTACGGACGGTATGTGGAGGATATATTCTGCATCTCAGATAGTCATTTATGCACGGATGAATTAGTGAGGCAATTTAACTCAGCCCACGCAAACATAAAATTCACACTTGAATCTGAGTGCAATAACTCACTGTCGTACTTAGATGTTCAGATAAGCCGAAGATCTGACGGGTCGGTCCAGCGCAGTGTCCATAGAGAGACAACGTGGAATGGGCAATATACTCACTTTGCCAGCTTCGTCCCGCTCAGCCAGAAAAGGAAACTTGTTCGGTGCCTAACCGAGCAAGCAAGAAGGATATGTAGCGAGGATATGCTTTCGGACGAGCTAAACTTTGTACGAAGCCTATTCGATAGAAATGGCTATCCTAAGAGGTTCGTTCGGAGAAACATGGAAGTACGAGAAGCGAAGGCAAAAGTGGATTCGGTATGAAAGAAACCGATCTACTTGTCGTTACCGTTCAAGAGGGACGGGATATCTGAATCAACGTCTAGAAGGCTTTCTGCGGCAATCGCCCAAACGTACTATACAGCAAACCTACGGCTAGGCTTCTACTCAGTGCCGACCCTGAATCCACAACTTAAGGACAGAATTCCAAGATCTAGTACTTCATTCTGTGTATACTCTTTCTCTTGCTCGTGTCGAGCAAGATATATCGGGAGAACTACCAGGAGACTGTCTGAGAGAGCCAGGGAACACTGTCCAGCTTGACTGTATAGCGGCGTGACTAGATCAGTGGCAAACGCAGTGTCTGCACACCTGATCGACTCGAGCCATCAAGTCAGAGCGCATGAGGCGTTCCAGCCCATCTATCGCGTACCCAGATGTCACACAAGAGCGGTTAGATGTCGTCTACTGGCAGCGGCCGAGGCGATAGCCATCAGGCTTCATGACCTTGACCTATGTGCACACAAGAAATTTGTCCAGGCACTAACTCTGCCCTGGTCCCCTGTAACACGGACACAGTGTGGACAACGCCGTACACACACAAACAAACTGTTGATCGCCGTGTGGCCAATCGCCTAGCTTGGTCACTCAGACCATCTGGGATTTGCACCTGTACTCTTAACTGATGTTTACGTTCATGTCATTCATTTGTGGTGTATTCGCCTGATGAGGAACCACTGAGAACGAGCTTGTTCGCTAACATTTGTTCTGAATTCAGTTTTTATAATTTAGACTGACAAACTGTAACTTTTTTTGCCTTCTTGTTGCTTATATGTCCCCCCTTATACACTACTATTGTTTTTGCTTTATGTTGCAAAACCTATATGAATTGTTCCAAGATCTCCAAAGGCTGCGTGTGACTGACCTCAAGCAGATCCCAGTCTGTCTCTGCAATCACCTTCCCCAGCTGGATCTGCTCCGCACTGCCTTGTGGATCAGGCTATTGAGCCAAAGGCTCCAGATAGAGTCCCTCAAGCAAACCTCCGAAGTACAATAGCCACCTCATGTGCGATTGTCCACCAATGCGATGGTATGCTTGCGCGCAAAGCACTCAGCATCGGGTGTTGGAATCTGCGCACACTACTAGATCGGAACTCCAGCGAGCGCCCGGAGCGACGCACTGCACTGGTCGCGATGGAACTGGCGCGCTACCACATTGATATTGCGGCGCTCAGTGAAACCCGGCTCGCTGAGCAAGGTAAGTTGCATGAAGCAGGTGCTGGCTACACATTCTACTGGGTGGGCAACGCCACCACAGCACCACGTGAACTTGGGTTCCGTTATGCAATATCCGATCGCCTCCATGGCCAGCTGGTGGGTGAACCAACTGGCTTCAGCGCGCGGCTGATGACTGTTCGCCTACGATTCGGAAGAGGTAAGTTCGCTACTTTTATAAGCATGTACCGTCCGAGCACGTGTTATCCTGATGACACGCGTGATCACTTCGACATTCAGTTATTCTCCGTGATATGGTCTGTGTCGAGGAGCGACCGACTATTTCTGCTAGGTGATTTCAACGCGCGCGTCGGACGTGATGCGTCAGTGTGGACAGATGTCATCGGTCCGCATGGCATTGGTTCAGCGCATGCGAACGGTGACAGGCTACTCTCATTGTGTGCCTCTCATGGCCTGACGATCACGAACACTCTGATTGCACTGAGTGCGAGCGATATAACAACATGGACGCACCCACGGAGTGGTCACGTTCACCTGCTCGACTGTGTCATCGCACGTCAGTATGATATGCGTGAAGTATCCTTGACACGTGTACTGCGTGGAGCTGAACGTAGCACGGTCATAAATTGGTGCGGACCAAACTGTACATATATTTTCGTAAATTATGTTCTGCACTGCCACCGTGAATCGGCATACATTTAACATTCTCTCCCTCGGTACTGTTGAGAAAGGTATTGCGCTGGAGAAGTCGATGGAT